TTTTGTCATTATTGCTATATATGTTGATGATCTCAATTTAATTGGAACTCCAGAAGAGACCCAAATTGCAGTTGAATATCTAAAGAAAGAATTTGAGATCAAAGATTTTGGAAAGACAAAATATTGTCTGGAATTACAGGTGGATCATATGAACAATGGAATATTTATCCATCAATCCACATATACCCAAAAGGTATTAAAACAATTTTACATGGATAAATCTCACTCTCTGAGTACACCAATGGTGGTCAGATCCCTTGATCCCAGTAAAGATCCATTTAGGCCAAGAGAAGAAAATGAAGAAATACTTGGCCCCGAGGCACCATATCTCAGCGCTATTGGCGCATTAATGTACCTTGCAGATTGTACCAGACCAGATATATCTTTTTCAGTAAATCTACTGGCCAGGTTTAGCGCATCCCCCACAAAGCGCCATTGGAATGGTATCAAGCACATTTTTCGTTATCTTCAGGGAACTCATGACCTCGGTTTATTTGTCTTATCTGCACAAAGCAAAATCTCAAACTGGCTATTTATTTACTTGTGGTGGAACCGCAATCTCTTGGAGATCGACTAAATAGACAATAACAGCTACTTCTTCAAATCATGCTGAGGTTTTAGCAATTCATGAAGCCAGTCGTGAATGTGTTTGGTTGAGGTCTATGACTCATCATATTCAGAAAAATTGTGGCTTGATTTCTGATGATGTATTACCTCCTACAATATTATTTGAAGATAATGCAGCTTGTCTAGCTCAATTAAAGGGAGGATATATTAAAGGCGATCGGACAAAGCACATATCTCCGAAGTTCTTTTTCACTCACGATTTTCAGAAAAGTGGTGAAATTGATGTGCAAAAAATTCGATTGTCTGAAAATTTTGCAGATTTATTTACAAAGGCACTACCGAGTGCAACATTCAACAAACTGGTGCAAGGAATTAGAATGCGTCGGATGAAAGACATCAAATAAAGTCCAAAACAGGGGGAGCGCATTAATACAAGAATGATGTACTCTTTTTCCTTCACTATGATTTTTTCCCACATGATTTTTTCATAGTAAGGTTTTAACGAGGCACATTCTTTGTATAAAACATCCAAGAGGGAGTGTTATGTACATGTATGTCTATCGTATCACCTTGCAAGTATATACGATTTGTCGACGTAGGTGTAATGTGGATGTTTTGTAGTAGGTTTCTTACCCTATATATATGTGTATAGGTTGAATGGATAAAAAAAAGAGAAAACACAGACAATTCGGATCAATCTCCTCCACTGCCTCTCTCCCACTGCCTCTCTCTCCATATATCTATATATATCTTTATATATTAGATACATTAATTGTCACACACATTCACATATATTATACTTATATTATTGTACCTACCAACTATATTATATTTATTATATATTATATAACAATATAAATATATATTTATGTATGTATAAGTGAGTGTGTTGTGTGTATAAGTCTTATATATATATGAATGTATGATATAAATATAGAGAGATTTACAAGATAGCAATGCAATAAATGCTTGTGTGTATCTTTCATCAAGATTTTGTACATATTGTTGGATTAAAAATTTAATTTTGGTTTAAATGTAATTATTTGGGCTATTAGTCAGATTAAGCTTATATTAAGTTATTTATTAATTTATTTGGCCTAAATAGAAACTCGGTAATTTATTAATTGGATGATGAGGCTAATTAATAATAAGGGATATAAATAGGGTTGTGATCCCAGGTCTAGACGCAATATCCAATACTTTTCATATCTCATCGTGAGAGTAAAGGCAGAAACCCGTTAATTTGCAGATCCGAATCCAACAGCGCTAATGAAATAAGGTTAGATTTATTTAGCTATATTTTCTTATCTCAATTATTACAACACGGTAGATGCTGAGCTTAGGGTGCAATTTCTGATAAGTTCCAACATATATATATAACTAGATTTCATGGACCAATAAAAAATATCCACAACATGCCTACATAATGTTTTCATAAGTACCGCGTAAATGCTACGTAGTACACTTATATTTATATCATATTGCATTATGTATAGATAAATTAGACGGCTGCAAAAACCAACAAATAATCACTACTTTCTCATTAAGCCGGCTCCGGTGCTGACCTTTTTTTCACTTCATTCAAAATTTTTTCGAAGAGTAATCGAACCAAACTTATGAACTATGTTCAGAAGAGTGGCATGAAATTCCCTCAAGTTGAGCAGCAAGACGAATCAAGGGAGAATCCTCTTCCATACATTTCTTCACAAACTACCTCTGGATCATCATCATAGTAACTATATAAACATAATGAGAGCATTATAGGTGATGTGAATGTGACCGGGTAGTACTTTTGCATGCTTCATTTTTGAAAGAATACTACTTTTAGCTTCCTCGAGTGAGTAATCTCTGCTCGAAACATCCTTTTATTATAAGTGACAATACCGGGTACCAAACCTCTATAATACAGATTATTGAAAACATAAAGAGCAATGTTTCATGAGTTTTTCCCTTTGCACAACCCATCTGTATCCTCCAATGCAAGTAACATCTGTAATGCTTGTTCGACATACCCACAACGGCACGAGCCATTCTTCAAACCATATATCAAATAGCTTCAGTGCAGTTGAACAGTCCCATTTATTAAACAGAACATTATATGTAGCAATACTTGGCTTCAAATTATTGTGCAACATCTCATTATATACACAGCTTAGCCTCTTTCATATTCTTCATCATGCAAAACCCATGAATTAGAATATTGTAGCTCTTAGCATCAGGAGATATATTCCTACAAGCCATTGAATCAAAAACTTTTTCATTAATCAATGTAGTAAACGTAACAACATCCGGACAGATTTTGCAACATATCATCTCCTTGAGCATCATTTTTGCTTCATCCTATCTATTCAAGTTAGAATCAAATAATTGTAGGTAAAAACATCGGGCGAGACGCCTTTCTTAGGCATTTCATATAATATCTTGAACGCTGCATCAAAAATCCATCACTGCACAAACTATGAATGACCGAGTTTAGCATATTCATGTTTGTTCCCCACATAGTGCGTTCTAAAAGGACGATAGGGAGAAAGAAGAGGAATCATGAATCGGAAACGAGAGAAAATACCTGAAGCTGACGTGAAAGCAGTTGCATAGAGAACAGGATATTTCCCCTGCTTGAAGCCATAGTAGTTCATTCCGTAAACGAAACGAGGAGCACCGCGTGCGTTCTGACATGGAGATTAGATTAGATGAGGGTGTGACGAAGAAGTGGAGATCGGATGGGGCTGTAGGGATGTCAACGGGGCGGGTTTGAGACGGGTTCTGCAGGCCCCGAGACCCGCCCTGCTAGAAAATATTATGCGGGTTCGGAGCTAACCCGGCAAACCCTTTTTTTTAAAAAATATATAATAATAAATATTTTTTAACAATCGAATACTAAAACAACCGGCGGTGGCGCTGGCGGCTGGTGGTGGTCGGCAGAAGACAAGTAGATGATGATGGAAGACAGCTGCGCGGTTTAAAAAGCGGGAAAAAAATTAGGAATTTAGGGCTGGTTAGCCAACTAATTGATTTTTATGTTCAAAATTATTTAAATAAATAAATAATATATTTTTATTATGTAAATATTAAAATATACATATATTAGGTATAATAATTTTAAAAAATTATTTAGAGCAGACAACTAATTGAATTTTATATTTAAAATTATTTAAATAAATAAGTCATATATTTTTATTATATAAATATATATATATATATTAGTTATAATAATTTTAAAAAATATCCGGATTCGAGTCCGGGTCCGGGTTGGGGCGGGTTTTTAGTAAAACCCGTAACCCGCCTCGAACCCGGCCGGGTTTAAAATTTCAAATCCACACCCGCCCCAAAACATATTATTTAGACCCGAACCCGCCCCATTAAGAATGGTCTGGGGCGGGTCCGGGACTAACCCGCCCCATTTGACATCCATAATTAGGTAGATAATTTAAAAATAATATTTTTTAAAAGATGAATCCTACGGTTATATTTTTATCCGCTCTTAAATTAATATAAATTTCATTAACGATTAATTTTTCATTTTTTACATCAAAATATTCTTAAATCAATATTATTTAATTTCTTCGTCCACCATAATGTATACACATTTTTATTTTGGGTTGTCAAATGACAAAGTAATCATCTTCTTTTTTTCAATAACTATAAACATAACTTTTTTTTTCTTCTACAAATATCATATTTTACTATTACATCATTATTTAAAAAAAAAAGCAAAAACATAATTATCTTATTTTTAACTACTCACTACAATTAAAATACTGTTATTTCTTAAATTTCACGTCAGAAATAAATACTCCCTTCGTCCATTAAAATTAGCACACTTGGGTCGGGCACGGAGTTTAAAAAAAATAAATATTTTATTGAAAAAGTGATAGGTAATTGGAGGTATTTTTGAAAATTTAGTTAAAAAATAAAGCAAATGAAGAAAAAGAATATAATAAAGTTAATAATATTTGTTGTAAATAAGCAAAAAGAAAGTGAGATTAAATTTGACGGATAGAGGGGGTACATACTTTTAGATGCGGGGATTAATAATTAACAAAACTCAACTAATTGTCAAATAGGATTGCATTCAATACCATAATCTTATAGATACAATTCTTATATTTTGAGAGGCTACTCAATAGCACTATGAGTGTGGGAATGATAGATATATTATACTTAGATGGCGACCACATGACTATAAAATAAACTATCCAAGTGAAACAATCTAGGTAAAATATAAATGTCTTATATATTTATAAACTTCCACTACGGTGTTGATGCCTTACACGATAGTATCATGCTGATTTTCTCCAAAAATACATAGCGAATATCTAGGAAATACATCCGAATGCAAGTCCAATATGCAAACACACATCGGCTACATGTTAAACCAAATCAAAATAGTTAACCACATACTGAAATCAAGATCAATTGTCCAATTCAGAATACATAACATAAATATAAATATGTATTATATATAATTGAGCAGAGCAGAAATTAACATTCAACTCCATTCCTCCCTCAAATGCTGCTCTTAGTTAATGTATCATATATATTCTCATGGAAAACTATAAAACCACTAATACATTCTAAGAACAGCCTGCACTACTACTACTGCTGCTGCTGTATGTGCCAAACCATATAAGCAAACACACCTGTACATACACACATACATGATCAAGATCTACATGACAATGATTAGCTTACAAATGTATTTACTAATGCATACATTAATTGCAGACTCTGCAAAAACCAACAAATGATCTCTACTTTCTCATCAACTGTGTCTTTTTTTTCACTCCAAAATTTTGTCCAAGAGTAATCGGACCAAACTTCTGAACTATTCTAACAAGAGTGGCGTGAAATGTCCGCCGACTGAGCAGCAAGGAAACCGTAGATGAATCAAGAGAGAATCCTTTTGCATGCATTTCTTCAAAAACTGCTATTGCATCATCATATTTATCATGCTGCATCATTCCTCGAATGAGAGTATTATAGGTGATGTGATTAGGCAGCACTTTTGCTTGTTTCATATTAGAAAGAACACTTTTAGCTTCCTCGAGTAATCCCTGCTGGCAACACCCTTTCATCAAGATAGTATAAGTGACAACATCCGGTTCCAAACCTCTACAATGCAGATTATTGAAAACAGAAAGAGCAATGCTGAGTTTCTTGGCTTTGCACAACCCATTCATAACAATATTGTAGTGAGCAATATGAAGACATGCACCATTATGCTCCAATGCATGTAACATCTCTAATGCTTGTTCCACATACCCATACTGGCACAAGCCATGTAACATGTCACAGTAAGTATAAAAGTTGGGTTTCATACCAGCATTCCTCAAATCATCAAGAAGTTTCAGTGCAGCTGAAATGTTGTGTGTATGAAACAGTCCCTTCAACAAAACATTGTACGTAACAATATGTGGCTTCAAATTATTGTGCAACATCTCATTAAATACACGCATAGCTTCTTTTATATTCTTTGCAATGCAATACCCGTGAATCAGAATATTGTAGCTGTTAGCATTAGGAGATATATTCCTACAAACCATTGAATCAAAAACTTTTTCAGCTTCATCCATTCGTCTTTGCAAACAATATCCATACATCAATGCGCTATATGAAACCACATTAGGATCCACACCTTTCCCCCTCATGATATGAAGTACATCCTCTGCCAGATCCAACAACCCTTTCTTACAAATCACATCAACCAATGTCGTAAACGTAACAACATTTGGATAGATTTTGCAACATATCATCTCCTTGAGCATCCTTTTTACTTCCTCCCATCGATTGAAGTTGCATAATCCAAGAATCATAGAAGAGTAGGTGAAACAATCAGGAGAGACACCTTTCATAGGCATTCCATCGAATATCTTGAAGGCCGCGTCAACAATTCCATCACGACACAAACTGTGAATTACCATGTTTAGAATATTTGTGCTCGCTGGAACACCACTTTTTTCCATTGCCTTGATCAGTTCAAGAGCTGGAGCAGTATTTCCATTCTTGCAAAGTCCATTTACTACAGTCCCATAAAAAACCACGCTCAATTTACACAACCTCTCTCTTACTATTTTTTTAAACAAAACTTGTGCCTCAGCAATCCGGTCTTCTCTAAACAAACCCCTGATTAAGGGGGTGAAGGCATACTCATCCGGAGCATGACCAAGCTTAAAGAACCAACCCAGAATGGATAACGCGCAGTCAGTCCGGCCAGAGAAGCAATAGCTGTTAATGACAATATTGAGGATATAATCGTCGACCGGAATCCCTAAACAGCGCATATCTCGAAAAAGAGAAATGGCAACGGAATACTCTTTCAACTTGACTACTGAGGACAACAATTCATGAAATTCTATGACCCTGGGAGAAGGCCTTCTTCGACAAATTTGATCGAACATATAAAGGGCATGATTCACCTCACTAATATTCCCGCAATTCCCCACAGAGTGCGTTCTAAAAGAGCGACAGCGAGAAACAAGAGGAAATGTGAATCTGAAATGAGAGAAAATACCTGAAGCTGAAGTAAAAGCAATTGCATAGAGAACAGGCAATTTCCCCTGCTTGAAGCCATAGTTGTTCATTCCGGAAACGAAACGAAGAGCACCGCGTGCGTTCTGACCTCAAGTACTAGATTAGATTAGGGCGTGATGAAGAAGGGGAGATTAGTGATTGATCGAATCGCCGTCGCCGTCGCCGGCGTCGCTAATATTGCATATTGTGCCATTCTCTGAGTTTGGGAAACTTTTTGGGCCATTCTGCTAAAACATAAACGCAAATTGTACACTGGTGGGTGGACCGGTCATCTTACCACACATGTTCCGCTGTGACTTGGGGCGGGCTGTTTGGGTTTGGGGGACACTGAGAAGGCTTTGTTTCCTTCTTTTTTTTCTTTGTTTTTTTAATTATAAATAAAAAAAAAATTACTCAGCTCCCTCAGTCTCAAACACCCTACATTGTACCTTATTTAGGACAAAGAGAGTATAATAATTATAATTGAATAAAATATATACACTATATGTCATTTTGTAGAAAATAAAATTTTTATAATATAAATAAATAAAAATTTATAAATATATATATAGATATAAAATAAATTTATATCAAATTATACAAATTAATACACATTTATATTATTATATTCACTACCTATCAAATTAATACACATCAAAACTCTCTTAATTCAAACCAAATCTAAACAAAGAACACATAAATTTAAATCTATTTTAAAATTCAAATAAAAATCAAATTTAAACGGTAATTTTCTCAAAAACCTCTAAGAAATTGACCTTTGTTTTCGTCTGATTAGTTTTCATGAGACCAACATTCTACCACGTCACCTTGCACAATTTGTATAAATTATTTAAATAACATTAAATATATAATTATTATGAGTATGTTTTATTATTGTGGTTAAGAAAAATTGAGTTTAAGTTTGAGTTTGATTTTTATTTGAATTTTAAAATAGATTTGAATTTATGTGTTTTTTTGTGTTTTAATTTGGTTTGAGTTTGGAGAGTTTTGATATATATATATATATATTTTAATAACGTGGGAACCCGCAACCACTGAGTTTTGATATTATTGATTTAATAGGTGATGAATATAATAATATAAATATGTATTAAATTTAATTGATAAAGTTAATAATAAAATATTTTCATTATGTATTTATATTATATCCATCATATATATTTTTAAACTTTTATTATTTGTATTATAAAAAAAATTATTTTTTAAAAAATGACATGTATATGTTTTATTAAACTATAATATTATAAATATCAAATAAATATAATATTTGAATTTTTATTTATATTTTAAATAAAACAAAAAATAAAAGAAATGCAGCAAAAAGCTGCAAAGACAGCAAATGCCGAGCACTTGGGGAACAAGCCAGGTTTTGATAAAGTAATTTTGCTCAACTGGACTCGAAGAAACACACCTTGTATTTTCAAGATCAATTATTTACACAATAATTTTACTTAAATCAAACTTGGAGAAACATACTCTGTATGTTCAAGATCAATTAATAATTAATATAAAATTTATTATAGGACAATTTTTTTTTTTTTATCATATTCATGAAGATAGAATTAGTAGGAATATCAAAGCACAAAATACTTATATGATAAAATAATTAAAAATTTTAACTTCATACTTGTCTCCCTATATATATATATATATATAAAGCATATCAAAATTTTGGAAATAGGGTTATTTGTGTGATAATTTTAAATTCCTACTTTCAATACTATTTTTTATAGTCAAATTAATATCATATCTATATTAAAAGAATGTATATGAAATTTAAATAAAATTTTTTGATTTATTTATATATAGATGATATATTATCTTACATTTGCTTTAACTATATCGTTGAAATAAAGTGGATTTCACATAATTTTAATAATTACATTTGACAAGCCACATATTTTCAATATCAATACGTTGATTTAAAACGGTGAAAATATTAGTAATTAATGTCACGGACTGAATTGATCAATTACACAAAACACAGAATAAACTAATTAAACGAAACTAAATGAGAACAAACAAACAACTAAAAAAAACAAATTAAGCAAGAAAAATGAAATAATTAACTAAACGGAACGAATAAAGCGATAAAAAAATAATCGAAAGAAAAGCAAATCTAAGTAAGTACTAACGTAAGTACAATTCGATATCCTTCTAGCATCGAACTATTCTCCATGAAGGCACCACCTCGGTCAACACTTTGGAGAGCTCTTCCACCTTCCCCAAATGCCACAAACTTGAGGCTTTATACTCAAACTCGAATTTTGAAACTAAATCTCACGGAACATGTAATGGAATTGCATTCCATTAAATATTAAACTAAAAGAGAAAATATTACTATCAAACATAACTTTCCATAAAAGGAAATAATCATAAATAATCAAATATTCATTAAAATATAATTTTGTTTGGTGTGTCTTGCAAAGAACCCAAAGAGACTTACTTATAAGAGTAGGAAAGCGGGATAGTGGATATGTTTTCCAATGCATGATTAATATAATCTCCCAATGAATGACAATAAGCTTAATGGTCCCCCATGCATGTGAAAAGCATGTGACATTCTCGATTATATATATATGTATATGTCTTAAGAGATGGTCCCTCGCTAGGGATGTCAAATGGGGCGGGTTAGCCCCGGACCCGCCCCGGATCCGGTCTTAATGGGGCGGGTTCAGATCTAAAAAAATTGGTTCGGGCGGGTTGTGGATTTTGAGTTTTAGACCCGGCCGGGTTCGGGACGGGTTACGGGTTTTACTATAAACCCGCCCCACCCAAAACCCGGATATTTTAATAATTATTATAATTTATTTATATTTTATACAATATAAATTATATTATTTTTTATTTGGAAATTTTTAAATATAAAATACAACTTTAATTTTAAATCAAATTTATGCTCGCATTTGTTTATCCTATAATTTTCTTTATAATTGCGACTACTGTTGAACGCCACCACTACGAACTATCGTCAATATTTGATTATTCTTATTTTTAAAATTATAATTTTTTAGTACTTTTGACACATATTTTTTTGTATTAAATTATTTAAAAAATATTTTATTCTTTAAAAAAAAAAAAACGGGTTTGTCGGGGCGGGACGAGTCCTTGGGCCGGGTTGAAGTGGGACGGGGCGGGTCTTGGATCCTAATATTTTTTAGCGGGGCGGGTCCCGGTGCCTACAAAATCCGTCCCGAACCCACCCCGTTGACATCCCTATCCCACACTTATGCATGTGCAATGCAACTTTAATGTAATTACATATCAAGCCTCTCTATTTTAGCACACTCTTAGGTTTACATATTTCTTTCCTTAGTTGTCCAATTTACGCGTTTGAAACTCCAACATTGGCATCTCTCGACAAGTATTTGACTATTGCAACATAGGCTTCAACTGTTCTCCAACTTTCAATCTTCATCATCAAACCTTGTAATTTGTCAAAGCATATTATCTTTCGGGTTCTTGAAGCCAGTCCGATATGAAGTTTTGAAATTGCGACATTCGAACATCCATTTCAGTTAATTAAAACACTAGATCAAAATTATAAACTTATTAGTAGATAATTAAAACATCATATCAAATTTATGAAATGATAAGTTTTAACAAAATAATATAGATCAAATTATTCATGTTATAAAATTATTTAGTATTTATTTTTGCTCTAATTCTTCTTTCATTACATATGTATAATACTAAACAAAAAATAATAAAAAAGAAAAATTATACTATATAAATATTCCAAATATGTCAAAGTGAAATAAAACTTTATTCTACACATTTAATTTAAATTTTTATAAAAAAAATTGGTCGAAAATTATTTATTACAATTTCAAATAGTAAATAATAAAATAACAGCAAAATCAAAATTCATAAATAACAAAATACAACAAAAAATATAAATGTAGAACAAATGAAAAATTGAATATCAACAAAATATTAAAATAAAAATTTATATATCAATAGACAATCAAACACTAAACTAAAACAACGAGTACTTTCAATACACTAATGTCCTATTTGTATATGATATTATATATGATTATAAAAGTTAGATAATGTAATACTCTCAGTTAGCTCATACGGAAAATGTTACCGTAACACTACATCATGAAGTGGCCACCTTCTACTTCGAGCCCTACAATACAATGTTAAGGCTAAAATTAACCATAAAAATATCTTATTATTTAACACAAGAAAGTTTATGAATATTTACAAAAATACACCCCTAAACATGAGGTTTTTCCAATTAGAAATTCACATATGATACATACGAACAAGTTCACTCACTCAGCCCGTCTTTCTATATTCTGAGACGTCATTTGTCACGGTGGCGTTATGCATACCTGAACCAAATTTTTTTTACAAACAGTGTAGAATTAAATTCATTTTAAAAACTAATATAAAATATGTCATGTCATATTTAAAAATTAATTTTAATCTCCGTCATTTTCAAAATAAGTGTCATGTCATGTCAATAGTGAAATAATGTAACAAAGGTATTGAACTCGACAACCATGCACATATACATATATATACATTTGTCGAAATGAGCAGTCGGAATAACCTAGGCTCCATAATAATAGATTCACTGTATTTGTCTAGATGAGCAGTCGAAAAAATCTCGGCCCCATAAAAATAAGTTCACTAGACCATCATTCATAAAAAGCCGAAAAATCCTTAACTTAAGGAAGGACCTAATAAATCCATATATCCACCATACGACCCCCACAATCAATACATGGATAGTCGAATGTTGTCACCATTAACCACAAAACGCCCCATAGTCTTTGATAGCGAAGATAGGATCCTCCTATATAGCCCTATCCCATGTAATTTAGTAGAAACTGTGTAACCTGGAATCACTCAAGGGAAACTCGGAAGCTCTTCTCCTCCTCGCGCACCCTTACGGGATCACGTTTGGAGTTTGACATATGATGCTAAACTACAAGTAGACCACACCAATGGCCAGCCTAATGAGTGGAACAACACCTAACACGAATTATTAGACCAAATATATCTTAACTACAATTGGTCTAATCCCTGAATGACTGTGCGACTAAGTTATACAGTTGTTCAACTATCGTCAAAGTGTTAAGGTACATCGGGTCGAATATCGTAACCCCAGATGATGCCTCGTCTAGCACTAATGAGTGGAACAACACCTAACACGAATTATTAGACCAAATATATCTTAACTACAATTGGTCTAATCCCTGAATGACTGTGCGACTAAGTTATACAGTTGTTCAACTATCGTCAAAG